TCTTTTCTTTGTTCCCCACTCCCACGGACAGCAGTTTCTTGACAAAGGCAAACAAGGAATAAAGTATTAAAAGCTTCTATGTGTGTACATAGGATATTTTCAACAAAGGTATGAGCAGCATTTTCAATTAAAGAGGAATCTGAAGGAAAACAGCATTATAATCATGGAGGCAGCTGGCCACCAGGTCTCACTGCTGTCTCTGCGCTGCCCTCCCCAACTCCTCCACCTTCCAGAATGCTGGCTTGGCCTTTTTATCATGAACTGTCATGCATTTCCTCAGCATCATTATTTGTAATTCAAACCAACTTATAAGCAGGTACATGTGTTGCTTCATATATGGTACAGAAAATCAATCCTTTTTTTGTGAACCAAATACAACTTCAGAATTTTTCTCAATATAGTGTTCTAGACAGGAAGTCTTATTTGAGCCAGACATTTGAAACATTTGCCCTCTCATGTAGCTTATTCAAGAAACAGGGTCAGAGTTTAATATTTTTCAATTACTCAATTACTAATTATTAAATGTCTTCATTCTCATGGGCTATCTGGAACACACAGAAGAAAACGGAATAGTTTTCCCAGATGGATTTGCGTTATCTCAGGTTCTCATTCTATAATAGTTTTCTAAATGAAGTTTTTGAGAGAAAAAAGTATCACTGTGCACTCAATATTGAAAACTAAAAATAAATAAGTGAACATTCTACAGCATGAGATCTGAGCTATTGGAGTAGAATCGTAGACTGCTTAAATGGCTATCTAGACACACCTCTTATTCAGGGAGAAACATTGCTAGAATACAAGAAATCTACAGGAGGTTTGAAGTTCCTCAGAAAAGGATGAAGTTTGCTACTGGAAGCAGCCTGCACAGCAAACGTTAAAAAAGCAAAACTCTAGGTTTCAAGAAAGGGAAGGAAATCTAGGCAAGACAAAAGCGACCCCTTCCTAAAAACAAAGCAGATCCCTCCCGGACCCCATGTTCTGTTTCACATCACTGTTAGGAAGCAAAGCAGAGCTAGCTACCTAACCCGCAGGCGGTTGCGCTGTGTTTCGGGTAACTTCTTACAGCTGGGACCTGCACATGCTGCACGCGTGCGCTGGTACCCAAGCTCTTCCAACTCAACTCCCCTGGAAGTATCGCACCCTGTCTTGGGGGTGCACTGGCTCTGTTCAGACGTCTCTGGGTAGCAGTCGTGGGTTCGGGGTGGGCAGGTAGATCCCAAGTACCGCCCATCGCCCCTCCCATCTGGCCCCTGGTTTTTAGGGTCCTGGGCTCCCGGCTCATCAGTTCAGAGCTAGCAACTCTACCAGCACCTTGCTCTGCGGCTGGCCGCTGCTGCCCCGCCACTCTGAGCATGGAAAGGAGGGCACGGAGCTCCTCCCGAGAGGCCCAAGGGAGAGGCGGCAGGTCCTCTTCAAGGGAGGACAAGAAGGGGAAGACCGAGAGAGGCAGCCGCGGGCGCCGGGATGCTGGGTCAGAGCGGCGGAGCTCCGGGAGGACTAGGACCCTGGGGGAGCCCCGAGCCCCCGCAGGCACTGTAGTGGACGTGGATGATGTTCGGGGCTCTGGTGAGGAGGGCACCGAAGTGGTGGCGATGCTGGAGAGCGAGAGGCCAGAGGAAGGTATGGGTCGATCAGGCACCTGCGAGCGGAAGTCCCGAAATGTCAGATAAGTGGAATGAGTTCCCCCACTGAGACAAAGCCAGCACACTGGGTCCAAGGTTCTAGTTTCCAGGAAATGAAAGATGTGAGTTAGGCAACTCCCAAATAGCAGAGGCCAAATTGCATCAGAAGAAATACAAAAGCAACATCAACTCAACAGTTGGTCCCTAGTACCCGGATGAGAGGAGCCAGTCGCCCAGGACAGGGCCTGGTCAACAGGCAAAGGAAACATGATGTTGGCTTTTGTGGTCATGGAAGGGCCTGTGGGCACTCAGTGTGCTGGCTCTGAGCAACCAAGTGGCTATTCTTCCCTCATCCCCACCATCAGTCTTACCTAAGAGTATTGTAAACTTTCTTTGGAAAGGTGGGGTTTTTTTGTTTGTTTGTTTGTTTGTTGTTGCTGTTGTTCTAAAAAGCAGAGTCAGCAAAGACAAGTCAAAAAACGAATTTAAATTTCAGCCCAGCCCCATGTGATCACAGAAAGAGCCTTTACTATCAAAATGACCACAATGCCTCACAGGGTAGGCATGATAATTTTTTAAAAAGCCTTCCAAAGCACTTTGCACAATCTCAGCAAAGTCCTTGCAAGCTAAGAGAGAAGACCTCTAGAGCAAAAGAGGGGGTGCAAAGAAAGAGGTCCCTTTCACTTCTGCCGATGCCACAACTCTTGGGGTCAAATGTTACTACTTCCAGTCCTTTTTATAATGAATAAAAGGAAAAAGAAAATCACTACACCCAAATAAGGTGGCAGATGTTTGAAGAAAATTAAATAGGGAATAGCATGTTACATTGGTTTCTGTTGTAGTGATGTTTTAACATTGCCTGATTGCCAGCAATGCAGTGCATGCTGGATCGTAGAAAGCTACAATCCGAGGAAGATCCTGCAGTTGGGATGTAAAATGGCCATGCTAATACTTTTTGCCTAACTGCTAAATCTCTGGTCTTAAAGAGAAGTTGTTGGGTTCAATGCTATAGCAATGCTGAGGTTAGAGAGTTTGTGGCAGATCAGATCAGTGGGGTAGGCAAGAAAGGGAGTCCCACTTCAGGAGGCCTTTCTATGTGCCAGGTACACACTGGGTATTTTGCTGAGTTATTTAGTTCCTTGTCATCATCACAGATGAGGAAATATGCTCTGAGAAATTAAATTACTTGCATGTGTGTGTGTAGAAAATGGAATTTATTGGGCTAGCTTACATGATAAGAGTTAGGTAGTCTAACAAAGGCCACCTGCACACTTGAGAGGTAGAGAACCAGGTCCCAATCCAGAAAATGAGACACCTTAACAGTAGTAGACCTAGACTTTGCAATCCTGAAAGTCCAGAAGCTCTCTGAAGAGTCCTTGGTATTGAGTCCACGTTGAAAGGCCAAAGAGGCTGGAGTCTGGTGTCTGCGGGCAACAGCACCTGTACATGCAGCCATTCACAAAAGAAAGTGACTTGCCAGCTGCCATGCTGCTGCTTTCCTCTCCCATCTTCATCCTGCTAATATGCCTGTTTGAGGGTCCTGTCCCTATTCAGAGTGTGCCCCTACCTTTAATCACTGTCCTATATGTCATTCCTCTCTAGAAATGCCCCTACAGACACACAGGTACTTTCACTGGTTCTAGCATCTTTTAAACTAGTCAAGTTCACAACTTAAAACATTGACCAATACCTATAGCTAAGAAATAGAGAAGCCCAAATTCCAGAGAAGACCATCTAGCTGACCGCAGTAACCATCATTCTGTGGCACTGGCCTGGTTTCTGCCCATGGTCCCAGGACTGCTACCAAATAGCTATGGTCTTAAGTGAGTAACTGTCTTTGTAGGCCTCAGTTCAGCCACAAAGAATCCCAAGCAAGAGGTGATAAATTCCCCCAAGGAAGAGGATGAGCCCTTGCCTGGCAGATGTCTGTGGCTCCCAGGGAACAGTGAACATCCTCTTTCTCATTTAGCACCACACTCTCAAAGATTGACTGCTTAAGACTTGGGAGAAATAAAAAGGAACATCTCATCAAAACACTGGAGATTCCCCGGCTGTGTCTACAGGCTCTTCCTGCCTTTGCTTTTATTCAAACCAACTGGGCATTCAAGCAACTCATTCCAAGAGAACAGTATTCTGAGGGTAAAACTTTAAAGTTTCAGATCTGAGTATACAAATCAATGTTCTATTTACATCCTTAACTACTAAATGAAGACATTTTTGTGGTCTTTTTCACTTACAAAATGTAACTTTGTCTATATGTACATTTTTTTACTTTGAATTGCCATAGCTACCACTGGCAACTGAAATACATATATAAAGCCAATTTAAATGCCGATGATATTGTGAGTCATTTCTTTGAGGAATTATATGAAAAATTAATGATGTTGAAAGAGCATTTCCCAAAGTAGTTCCATGAGAAATAAATTCCACAGAGCATGAGTGAGTGCTCCTTGGAGAAAACGCCTGGTCAGTGTCTGGGAAACACTAAACAGAGCTAAGAATGCTTCTTTACTGCAGGGATTCTCTTAGTTTCTGCATGCTGATCATTAGGAATGCCAGGAATAAGATATGACACCTAGCCTGATTTTTCTCTACTTGTCTGTCCAGGAAACTCTTCCTATGTGGAGTAGACTTCCCTGTGGGATTTGTGTTCTATGGGACAGCCATTGGGAACTTCCACATTCAGTGCAACTTGGGCTTATGTTGATGTAGCTTGCATATCTGTCTTCTTCAAGTAGTCAGCTTGATGATGACCTTGCCAGGTTTCAAATTCAAGTTCAAATTCAAAAATTTATTTTTAAGAGATGCAGTCTTGGCCCACCAAGATGGCTCAGTGCATAAAGCTGAATGATCTGAGTTTGATCCCTGGGACCCACATGGTGGAAGGAGAGAACTGACCCTACAAATTGTGTTCTGACCTCCATACACATACTGATCCCACCCCCAAGAAAAAGAAATAAATAAAAAAAATTAAAGAAAAAAAAACACAATCTTGCTATGTTGCTTAGGCTGACCCTGAATTTGAAGGAGGCTTCTGCTCCAACCTCCCAATATCTGGCACCACAACTGAGCTCCACTGTGCCTGGCTTTGGAAATCAAATTTTTAGGCCAACCAATTAGTTATCTTTTTTCTTCCCATCCCTTGAAAGTAGGCTTTTAAACGTGTCTTAGTTTTTAGTCATCTTCTAGTTCTCTTTGATGTTTTTAAGCTAACAAATAGTGTACCTTTGGTCAGTTTTCTAGTACCTGGAAATTAAAATTCTCAGATTTCCAGTATTGCTGAAGAATACTGGAATACCACACACTCAGACACAGGACTTGGCAGAATGAAACTGGAACTGACCTGAAATCCTCTTCCCTGAGGACTAGCTCTCATAGTATTGGAAGGCACTATGCAAACTGCCAAGGGAGAAAAGCATCCAATAGTCTTACCCAACTTTGAAGCCTATGAACCACAGCAGTGACCCACCCATGGGTGCAATCCTAAATGGTGCAATAGTGGCAATATTATCTTGGGGGTGACAAACAGCTGTCTAGTTGGACTTAAGACCCACTTAGTAGGAGGGAATTCATGCCAGGTACTGTAAGCCTAGTCAAGTACCCATGGTTAGAGAGGTTACAGACCCTAGAGGAGAACCTACTACTTCCCTTAACCCATATAATTTCTGACTTATCCTAAATTCTTATCTTTAACTAACAGATTAAGTGTAGCTTTTACCCCTCATCAAAGAAGCTTCTTTTTGCAACATCTTGAGGCAATTACAGAGCTCTACAGAGAATAAGTGACTGTGGGGTGCCCAGCCTGAATTTATACTTCTAAAACGCAATCCTTACACCTAAGACTCAGGGAACATCATGGAAGAGGGGGTGGAAAGAGCCAAAAGACCAGGATACCTGCTGTTAGATTGTGTCTTCCAGACTTGACAGGGAAGCTACACCCATGAAATCTCCACAATATGATTACCTAAACAAGACATACATAGTGAAAACACCAGTTGACATGCCAGTGTGAATGAGGGAAATTTAACAAGATTGCACCTTTAGATGAAGGGCTACAGGCAATCAGTGGATGCTGAGAGGGGGAGAATCAGTTTTCTCAAAGGAGAGCTCCCTGATAATGTTATCCAATCCTAAGTGGTCAGTCCTAAATGCATGTACATGTGAGCACCACTAATTGGACTCAGTAAATTGTTTTTACCCACGCATGCATGTGCGCAAACACAGACACATGTGAGTAATAATAATGATTAAAGAAAGAGGTCAGGCGCCAGGCGTGTGGTGGCCACACCTTTACTCCCAGCACTCCAGAGGCAGAGGCAGGCAGATCTCTGTGAGACTGCGGCCAGCCTGGTCTGCATAGCAACTTCCAGGTCATCTGGGGCTACAGGAAGACCCTGTCTCATAAAAAGAAAGAAGAAAGGAGAAAGGAGAGAGAGAGAGAGAGAGAGAGAGAGAGAGAAGAAAGGAAGGAAAGAAAGAAAGAGAAGAAAGAGAGAGAAAGAGAAAGAGAAAGAAAGAAAGGAAAGAAAGAAAGAAAGAAAGAAAGAAAGAAAGAAAGAAAGAAAGAAAGAAAAGAAAGAAAGAAATTGGTCAAAAAATTGAGAGGGAGTGGAAGGAATGTGGAAGGAGTTGGAGGGAGGAGTGGAAGGGGCAGGAATGATATAATTATGGTACTAATGGATGAAATTCTCAAAAATATTTTAAAATTAATTTA